ATATTAGTTCATTTTCAAATTTTGTTATAAAAATATATTTTTTCTATCTCCTTATAATTTTTCATTGTAACATTATAAGTAATTATATTTTCTTTTCTTAGATTCTCTTGATGAAAATAATCCAAATATAATGAGAAAACTAGTGTTGCTAGAAGTATATATAAAACTGACATGTTTACATCTTGTTCAGTTGTTATGGTTGACTGAAGACAGTGACACTGTTACAATTTTGCTTGCCAACCATGTTGCTGTGCAGTTCTGCATCAGTATTGAATCATACTGTCAACAAACCCATCCATTCAAGATGCTGAAATGTAAGTTTCAATTTTGTGGTGAATATTCCAATGAATCGAAATTTATCAAACAAGGCAGAAGGTGTTTTGAAGCAAACTATGTTGTATGAAATTGCAATTTCACTATTGAACAGGGGGTAAAGTCTGATGTCAAAAAACACATGGAAACAACAAAGCACAAGAGATTTTAAGAGTATCTTGTATTTCTAAATTTCTAATCTAGCCACTTTAGTTATAACAAATTCAGTATAGGGTATAAGGAAATTAAATATATGATAGGCTGTTCTAGGAGTAGTTTTTCCAACACTGCAAGATGTCATAAAACCATAACATTAATCTAAGAACTTGATTTATATTGTTAAATAAATGACATCCAATTTGTTCAGAAATGTCTAACCATTCTGATGTATACAACCGTTTTCTCAGATCAATGACTAAAATTGGTTTTGAGTGAATGAACCCTGTGTATTTTAGTATGTATCTATCCTTCTCAATTTGTGGACTGGCACTACAGCATCACAAACAAAAAACATTATCAAATAACATGAAGCATGTCACCTGAGAATGTTCAACAACAGTAACAATGAAAATCAATAGCAGCTGTAACTTCAAGAGAGTAAATAATTAAATAATCAAGATGTTGTCTGTTTACACTACTTGAAACAAAAGTTTAGAAAGAAAGCCCCATTAATATAAGAAAGAGCAATAACAGATAGTGGACTTAAGAAATTTATTTTCCTGAAAAAACTATTTGAAGAGAAAGTTTTTATAAATTTCAAATGACTGTCATGCTAACTGTTTTGTCATTGAATCTATATATAAGATTCTGTGACTTCTGTTAGTCCATCTGGCAGTGTGTCACACCCTCTAAAATAGCTATACACAGACTGAGTGAAACAAAATTTTAGGGAAAATCACAAACAGGTAAAGGAGTAAAAAGTACTACTCATTTTACTACAGTGTGTAGTTTAGTACAATAAATTTTCATTAACTTTTTGGAAAAATTAAAAGTTTTATTATTTAACATACAAAATACTACTACTATTTAAAAACAATTTAATTATTAAATTAACAAATACTTATTTAATAAAAATACAATATTGTTTTTTGCATATATTTTCTTTAAATTTTTATATTTTATCAGTTGGTTTGCGAACTTCAATGAAACATAGAGTTTGTAAATCTCAACAAAAAATGTTAATGATAACTTCAACAATACTAAATTCTAGTGCTGAATATTTCCATATAAGGAAACAACTAATCTCACAATTATCACTTGTAGTTAGGTTCATTTTATAATATTTTATTAGTTATGAATTTAGTTAATCTGGGATAATCTGTGACATTCAAATATCCAGCTACGAGGAACTATGTTGTATGATTTTGTGCATTAAACCCAACACTTTGTAAGGCTTTTCCTTCTCAATCTTCATTCCTTCAAGATTTTCTGGTCTGAGTAGAAGAGATTATTTGATCCTCTTGTTTCATTATTGTTCTTCTGTTAATAGTCTGATATCTCTATCTATAAAAGGCAGGATGTGTGCGTGTGTGTGTGTGTGTGTGTAACGAATGCACGGCCGCAATTTTTGACGGATTTGCACCAGAATTTACATGCACATTCTCCAAGTTAGCAGAAAGGACAAGACTGACTTTGCATTTCCCAACTCCCATCGATAGTGGAAATAATCGATTTTTTCATGCTTCTACGGCAGTTTTCATGTAGTTTGCAGCCATTTTCTACTGGCCAGAGTGAGAGCCTATAGCTGGCTGCCACGAATAGGCAGGAAGATTCTATTGGCCAGCGTAAGAGCCAACAGCAGCTGACTGACACGAATGTTAACTAGCATGCTAGCATGCAAAAAAAAATCGATAGCTGCATTCATCACAAGTGGGAAAAATTTAAATCTGCCTGGCACTTTACTCCAATTGGCTCATTCGCTTGCTTAAACTCAATGCTGATTCTGATTCCGCAGAACTGGGTTGGGTGTGAAAAAGTACTTGTTGTTAACATTCTTTTTTTCATTTGGTTTTTCCAGTTACATGTCCTTTTTTAAAGCTGATTGTTTTATGTTCATTTTGTTTAGTTCTTTTTTCTTAACAGATTTAATGTTTAGTATAGAGCTTAGAAAAAATTCAGTGTGAGATAGGCAAGAAGTAAGGCATGTAGCAACATCAGCATGGCAAAGGGCACTCCTTTAAAGGCAAGGAAGGGCAAAAATATTTTAAGTCAAGTGTTAGCGATTGTTGTATATGTCATAAGATTTTTGAATCATGCACGGGCAACGCCGGGTCATGCTGCTAGTTACTTCTAAAGTTCCTTTTTTTGAATCATTTAACCCCAAGCAAGGCAATAGTGCCACTAAAGCATGTCATACATGACAAGGAAGCAAGAAGACAAAGGAGAATTTCACAAGTGTGAGAGTAGAACCTATCAGAATAGAACTTATGGCTACATTTAGCTATTTTAGCAATAAAATGATGAGATCTAGTTGCCAATAAATGACAACTGATCTAATAAGCTTTTTTCCCTGGTACCCTGATGACATGAATTTAAGCATCTGTTTACTATTGAATTAGTTAAATGTAATCAGCGCTTCTACTTCAACAGTTTCTTTTCTGGCACTTCTCACCTGTGGAACTCCCTTCTGATTTCTTGCTTCCCTCATAACTACAATCTTCAAACATTTAAATTCAACATCAATAACCATCTTCTATCTTCTTGAATCCCATTCAGCTTTTATCTTTTATTGTCAATCCCCACTGACACCCAGTCTTTTCTCTCACTTTCACTCACTGAAACCCATTCCCACCTTACCTGGGGTGAAATGATTAAAAAAAAAATTATTATTTTTATAATCATGCTGCTAAGGTATGAAGGAATAAAGTGAATCAGAACAATTGCTATGAAAATATTTATAGGAAATCACAGGGAATCCATATTACAGAAGTGTGAATGTGATTGAAGCCAAGATGTCAGTTCTGGACTGATGACATTACAGGCACTTTTTTGAATTTTGTCAAGAATCTCAAATTAGGGAACAGGAGCACCAGACCATATTCAGTGCAGCTACAATTCATGTTTTTGCTCTGTTCCTGTTTAAATACTTTTCTACAGATGCAATACTGCATCTCTATTGCTATCTCCATGGCAAATGTTGAGATGCCCTCCATTCTTTAGTTCCACCAATTCAGATTTTTATCACTAGGACACACTATGCTACTTCCACATAGTCAAATCACATTCTTTTTTCATTCATTTTCTTTTTCATATTTATCTTTCTTTTCTTTCTTTGTTAATGCCTTTAACTTCTTAAATTTTATCTTCGTCTTTCTTTTAATTTTCTGTCTTCATATTCCACATATCTTCTTCTTTTTTTGTTTTTCTTTCTTTTGAAACATCTTAAATAAATCATTTCATAACTTTTCATCTTCCTTTTGAGTTTTTTCATATTCCATTCTTCAACATAGATAGGGCAAGAAATTTAAAAAGAAGTCAAAAAATGAAAAAAAAGAGAAAAATGAATAAAAAGTTTTAAGAAAATGAATAAAATATTAAAAAGGAAGTAAATCGACAAAATGATCTGAATGTAATTAGAAAATGCCACTCAGACAACATTTACTTAAGCACTGCTAGTTTATAGAACCGACAACTATGTGGATGTTTCTCTAAACACTATAATATTAACTTCTTCAAGTCAATAGTCAATCATTATCTATCCTCCATATCCTCATAATCCTCACATCCTACCACCTCCTCTTTTATTCATATCACACACCTCATCAAATGTCTACATTGAGAGGCTTTTGAGCCTTGTATTGAGTGCATTTTAGCATTAAAAACAAATAAGCGATTTGATTAAAATATACATAAGAGGTTACATTCATATTGCCTCAATCTGAATAGTTTGAATACATGTCACACACTTACACATATACCTTCAGCCACTAGATATCACAATTCTTCTTTGCATGAGAGAAATGCATTTGATATGCTTTCAATATAATATAAATATGACTGCTTGTATTTGTAATGCCAGATGTTTTAATAATGAAAATACTTTTCTGGTTATATTTAGTAAGATCAAATCAAAATGACATTTCCAAGATTTCTTAGCTCAATAGGTTTCAAACAAACTCTGTAAGCAGGCATAATAAAGGCAGTGTTTTCAGATTACTCAGATAAAAGATGATGATCTGACATGTATAAGTAAAATAGTCTGTTTTGGTGCTTTAGAAAAAAAAAAAAATAAATAAAAAATGATTTCTTTTTAGTTATGCCAATATGCCATTTTGTATTGGTGACTGTGTGAGGAGATTTGTGGCAGAAGGGGAAGATTAACTCAAGGTGTCCAGAATGAGATTGAGAAATAGTGAAAAGTTAAGTCAACCATGATATATTGAGAAAAAGAAAGAAATGTTAAAAATAAAAGAAAGAAATGGCAAATGAAATGGAGGTAAAAATAATTAAGAAACAAAAAACAAATAAAATCATTCAATAAAGAAAGAAAGGAAAAAAAAACAATAAAAAGATGAAGGTAAAATTTGAGAAGTTATTAAAAAAAAAAAGAAAGAAAGACAGAAATTATTCAGAAAGAAAGAAATATAAAACCGAAAATGATTTGGAAAAGAAAGAAAGAATCTTGGCAAGAAGGCGGAAAGTAAATGGAATATGAAGAAAGGAAGATGAAAAGTTGAGAAATGATTGATTTAAGAAAGAAAAACAAAAAAAAAGAAGATATGTGGTATGTGAAGAAAGAAAATTAAAAGAAAGATGAAGATAAAATTTGAGAAGTTAAAGGCATTAACAAAGAAAGAAAAAAAAGATAAATATGAAAAAGAAAATGAATGAAAAAAGAAATAAAGAAAGAAATGAATTAAGACAGAAAGGAAGTAAATAGACAAAAACAACTGACAGTAAAGAAGGAAAATGAAAAAAAGAAAATGGAAAATAAGGTGATCAGGCAAAAAGTGGAGAAAAAAGGAGTAAGAGAAGAAAGAAGAGAAAAAAAAGAAAAAAGTCAAGAAAAAGAAATTTAAAAAGAAGTCAAAAAACGAAAAAAAAAGAGAAAAATGAATAAAATGTTTTAAGAAAATGAATAAAATGATAAAAAGATGAAAATGAAAATACAAAGAGAATGGAAAGAGAAAAAGAATGGGATGAGAAAGAAAATAGAAAGAGAAAGAAAAAAGAAAGAGAAAAAGAGAAAGGAAATAGAAAGAGAAGGAAAAGAGAAAGAGTAAGACAATAGAAAGAGAATAAAAATAGAAAGAGAGAGAAAAGAGAAAGAGAAGGAAAAAAGAAAGAGACGCAAAAGAGAAAGAAAAGAGAAAGAGAAGCAAAAGAGAAAGAGAAAGAAAAGAGAAAGAGAAAGAAAAGAGAAGCAAAAGAGAAAGAAAAGAGAAAGAAAAGAGAAAGAGAAAGAAAGAGAAAAAGAAAGAAAATAGAAAGAGAAGCAAAAGAGAAAGAAAAGAGAAAGAAAAGAGAAAGAGGAGCAAAAGAGAAAGAAAATAGAAAGAGAAGCAAAAGAGAAAGAGAAAGAAATGAAAAAGAGAAAGAAAAGAGAAAGAAAATAGAAAGAGAAGCAAAAGAGAAAGAGAAAGAAAAGAGAAAGAGTAAGACAATAGAAAGAGAATAAAAAGAGAAAGAGAGAGAACAGAGAAAGAGAAGGAAAAAAGAAAGAGAAGCAAAAGAGAAAGAAAAGAGAAAGAGAAAAAAAGAGAAAGAGAGAAGGAAAAAGAAAGAAATAGAAAGAAGCAAAAGAAAAGAGAAAGAAAAGAGAAAGAGTAAGACAAAAAAAGAGAATAAAATAGAAAGAGAGAAAAGAGAAAGAGAAAGAAAAAAGAAAAAGAAAGAAAAGAGAAAGAGAAAAAAAAAAGAAAGCAAAAGAGAAAGAGAAAAAGAGAAAAGAAAGAAAATAGAAAGAGAGAAGAAAAGAAAAAGAAAAAGAAAGAAAGAGAAAGAGGAAAAGAAAAGAGAAAAGAAAAGAAAGAAAATAGAAAGAGAAGCAAAAGAGAAACCAAAAGAAAAGAGAAAAGAAAGAAAATAGAGAAAGAAAATAGAAACAGAAAATGAAATAAACAGAGAAATAGAAAAAAATAAAATCAGAAAACAAAAGGAAAGAAAGTAGAAAGAGAAAAAAGAAAAAAAAGAAAACAGAAAAAAGAAAGAAAAAAAATTGTGAAGGTCTGGAGTAAAAAATAAGCAGCAGAAAGCATTTATATTGCACTTAGCATTTTGCTTTTTCACAGATTCTACTATTTATGTTGAGAAGAAATCTGACAAGAATGTAAACATATGCACTATTTCCCAACTTCCTGTCACATGAAGACATGGATGGACTTTTATGGATTTGCCTGCCTTTTTCTCCCTTTACAAGGTATAAAGTAAAAAACAGAATCGGAAAACTCTGAAGAAATGGAAATGAAAAGCCCCTTACATACATGAAAAAGAACAAAAAACAAAGGATATAAAATGGAGCAAGAAAGGAATTAGGGAAATAAAAAAGTGCAGAGGAAAAAGAGAGAAGAAAATCCTAAATGGGAGGAGAGGAATAAGAAATAGCTGGAGAAAAGCAGACGTGAGAAAAAGTTGAGGGCAGAGAGAAATAGTAAATGATTTAAGATTAAAACAAGGAAAACATGATTGTGAGAAGAGAAAAAAGTAATACAAAGAAGTGGTAGATTAAGAAAGAAAGAAAGAAAGAAAGAAAGAAAGAAAGAAAGAAAGAAAAAGAAAGAAAAAGAAAGAAAGGAAAATTGTTAATGGTAAACAGCAGATAGGGCAAGAAAAACATGAAGAAAAAGAATAAATTTTGAAAAAAAGTCAATGTTGAAAAAGAAGATTGGAAAGAAAAAAAGGATGAATTTGAAGTAAAGATAACATTAATAAATTTTTTAAAAAGAAGCTGAAGAGAGAATGAAAATAGTATAAATTTGAAAAGAAGAACAGCTTGATGAAAGAAAGAAAGAAAATAAATAGAAATAGAACAAATTTTTAAGAAAAAAGGCTTTGAGGAAAGAAGATAAGAAGAAGAAAAAAGAATAAGTTTTAAGAAAAGAAAAAGGTTAAAAAAAGAAGCAATAGAAACAGAATAAAAAAAAACTAATTTTGAAAATGTAAGGAAAAAGGAAAATCAAAAATAAAAGTATAAGAAAAATGATAAAAAATATAAAATTAACAGAACTAATAAGAAAAAGAGAAAATGAAAATAAAAATGAATTAAGCAATAATAAAAAAGAGAAGTGAACAAGAAAAAAATAAGAAGCAAAGGTAATGAAGCTAAAAATCATAAATATTGAGAAGAGGAAGAAGAAATGACAGAAAGAAATAGACAACGAAGAGAGAGAAAGAAAAAACAAGAAAAGGAGAAAAACCCTTTGCCAAATGAAGAAGGACAAATAGATTTTATGAAGTATCATTTAAAAAAGTAGAAAAAAAACAATCAAAGTTAAGAGAAGATTAAAAGGAAATAAAACAGAAAAGAAAGCAAAAAGTTGTTGGGGAAAAGCAGATGGTGAAGAAAGAGATGAAAAGTCGGAAAATAAAATAAAGGAGACCTTGCTGGTTGATATTTAGATTCAGGAAATGGACTTTCGATGCTAACAGCAACATATGAGGAAATTTAAATGCTTCACATTTGTTATTAAGATAGACAGATAGTTTGAGGAAGTCAAGACAAAAAAATAAGAATCATGAAAGGACAAAGGAAAGGAAAGGGAAAGGAATGCCTGTCATTGTGGGTAATATTAGATTTGCTATGCACAATCCATGGAGACAAGATGGTCATGGTGTGTGTGGGAGATGCTTACAAAAGCTTCCATCCCCCACCAAGAAAAAAAAAACCTTCATTGTCTACGTTGCAATTCTGTGCAGTGGGATTTTGGAGGGTGTGAATAGATATCACACTTTGTGGTGCAGGAACTTCACTAGTTGATATTCCCAAAGGTTGGTTCCATATAAAACCAACAGAAGATTTAATTATTATACAGACACCTATAAATATTATGGTAAAGCCAAAGTAACAAGTCACAATTTGGTTTTCTCATTAGTCTTTTATATGGACCTTCTTTACCTTTTAGCAATGCCAAATAAGATCCTGTTATAATATCTTTGAAACTAGTCATATTTCTTTATGTTGTATTATTTTTTACAATGATGTTCACCCTGTACAAGGCCCAAGAGATACTCAAGATAGAGGGTTACAGAGTAAGAGGCAGATTTTATGGGAATATGTGGGGTTAAGAGTATAGTAACTGGGGAAGTGTTGTGGTAAGATCCACCTAATTTGCATAGTGGAATACCGACCATATAAATATGGTTGGTACCAGGAAGAGAGGAAGGAATCAAGATATTCAACCAGAGACTCTGCCCGACTGGGACTCAGTCAACACATTCTCCAGGAACAGTCTTACCAGGAATCTACAAAAGACTATATGTAAATATTGTGTACACTTTCTTGTTTCAATACATTTTGTTCTAAGTACATTTTGTGTTGCATTATTATTCCATGCATTATTCAAGTTTCAACAGGAAGCATATTCTTAAGAGTTGGTTTAAAAAAGTAGCAGTTTGTAGGAAGTAGCTGCTTGAGTGGAATTTACATTACATCACTTGAATAAGAAAGGCAATGAGGATGATTCTCTACAATGTACTTTCATGGTATGGCATGGCAGATTTTAGCAGTCAAGGTTAGATCTAGTGGAACTAAGAGACATAGTTCATCTGAACACATTCTATAGAAAAAGCAACAGAGCAGTGACAGGCTTGGGGCATTTCATTTGTCAGAAGCTTGGAAAATAGGGTGGAAAATAATTTGTCACCTACAAGGACATGAAGATGCTTTTTGAACTCTATTGAGAGTAGAAAGGGAAGACTTGGATGCTCTTGTTCATATATGACAGAAGTACTCCATTTTCAGCCCAATCTTGCTCTTGTAAAGGGAGAGGATAAAAGGGGGAGTCAGATACTTACTGGAGTGGTACAAGGATCCAACCATTTTTCTAGCATTGCTAGCAATGAATTACATGTACAAGTTCCACTTGAAGTCTGGATTGAGTTTAAGTTTCACTCAAGACATGATGTTTCCCTGAGAGAATACCTATTCAATGCGATTGGTTAAAGATCTGGTTTTGATTGGTTTGGTTTGGTTTATTTTGTTTTACGGCATATCAACCTCAATGGGTTATTTAATGTCGACAAAATTTTTTATTGCTGGTAATATCGTGTTTTGTCAAAAATCTGTTTCTGGTAATATTTTTCCTTCAAAATTGTATTGCTGGTAATAATTTTTTTCAAAAAAGTATTGCTGGTAATAGTTAACTATTTGCCCATAGCTGGGACCTGTGAACACCAGCAATTAAGAGATGGTTCCATGCTCCTCAAAACCTCCTGATCAGAAGCCTTGCTGATGGACGTAGTTTATCGTCTTACCCAGGATGCTGATGTAGTTTAACGTCTTACCCAGGATGGGGGTTTCATTAGTTGTTATAATTGTTATACTTGTTATAACATCATTGAAACTCATCCTAATTCTTTGGTCATTATACGAGAATGTCTGTGATAATATCATTATCATTAGATACAATTCTTTCTGATGAAGTTGACTGATTCTTGTGTGGTTGACTGCCAGACCAACTTTACTTCTATAGTTTGAACAGTATCATGCAGTTGTTGGGTTTATAAACTTCATCTGATCCTATATAGAGAGATTTATCACATGTTGTTAGACAGTCTCTCATTGGTTAATAAAACATGGGCTTAGAAAAGGCTCACCACCACCAGAAGCGACCAGGCCTACTCTGAAGCAATATGCAAGAAATTCTCTCCACCACCTATGGTACAAGTTGCCTAGGGTTTTAAAGGTACAAGTTATCTAGCCCTATTTTACTCTAACAGATGGGTAAGTCCACCTGACATATTCTCTATATATAAGAAAGGACATTGTGTTTATGTTAACCATTGTATTCATGTAAATAAATATCTTTATTACATGTTGATAAAATATAAATGTGTAAATAAATATCTTTATTACATGTTGATAAAATATTCTTCTTACCTGTGTCAGTCCCAAAGTAAAGTGGCACTAGCACAATACAGTTAAGTTGCTGACTGGCTCAATTACAAGCTGATTCTACTAATCAGCTAGAGAAGATATTATAGGTCTTCAGGATTGGCAATGATTTGATCCCTGTATTAATTTTACTGACTACAAACAGTCTTTTCCTCTAACTTCAATTCACCAAAGAAAACACATTGAAGGAGTTGGTTCTCAAGCATGCACATGATGTAACCAACAAACATGGTTTTGATCCACATTGCTTTTGAATTTCAATGTTATACATTAACATGCCAATGTAAACTAAGGATTCTTTAAAGGCAAAAAACATGGAATTGATTAAGATTTCAAAAAAAAGTTGATGGTATACAACCCAGGATTAGCAGCTAAATGACACATAACTGTATCTTAGATATTGACCTTGGTTTTCCTCATTACTATTCAGGAAGTCACTGATAAAGTTGGATAATGTATGATAAAATTCCTATTCACAGTATATAAACAGTAGAGTATATATATACAGGATATAAACAGTAGAGTAGTTGGATCCCTTTTGTCCTACAAAGGAATCTTTGAAGGCATGTGGCTAGTACTTCAACCATATAAAAATTAAAAAAAAAAAATTAAAAATGCATCTTATGATCCACCAATAATTTACAGAAATAAATACAAATATAATGAAGAGACATTCTTAATACATTCATTTTTATATATTTAATATTTTTATAACTTTGATTTCATATTATAATTTAAAATAATAATGGCAGTTTGTTTCCAAGTATCTTATTGGACCAGTTAATCCCTGAGAAGGTCTTAGTTACAGAGAGAGGTCATAATCTGGCATGATCACCATTTTGAACAAAGTCAGTAGACACAAATATCATAATGACTAAGCAAAATCCTTGACAGCTTCATCTACCCAATTTTACTCACAAGTTATGGCATGAGTGACCAATTATTTTTCCCCTCACAACATCTCTCTCACAGGCAGGATGTGGTAAACCTCTTGCTGCTCTGTCACTACTTCCATGGAAAGTTCTTGGATGAACTACATTCCTTTATTTTGGGAGTACTAACCTTTATGTCATGCCACTTACATCATAGCAAACTCCACCCACATTCCCTCTGTATTCCATCGGTGAGAAATCAATTCAACTTGAACAGCTTCTTCCTGCAAACTGCTGTTCTGTGGAAGCAACTCCCAAGAGGATGTTTCCCCAATCACTACAATCTTAACCTGTACAACTCTAGGGTCATCTCCTCCTTCTTATCCATATAAACTGTCTCTTAATGTAACCCTCTATGTCATACAAGGGGAACTTTACTGAAAAACAAAGAAAAGTGTTTTAACAGACGATGAAAAATGCAACCCTGAGATATAAAACACGCATTATAGTGAAGGAAGTATTTCAAAAATTAATCAAGATGTTAAGAAATGGAAAAATTTTGTTAGAAACAAAGAAAAAGTGATGGATTGCTATGGGATATCTATGCCTTTTATATGGCAGAGAATATTGAACAATCTCCCCATGGATGAGGAGAAAACTAGAAGCAGCAGAAATATGGTTCTACAGAAGGACACTGAAAGGATAGAGGGAGTAAACAACAAGGAAGACTTAAAGAAAATGGCAAGAGAAAGAAGACTTCAGAATCAGGAAAAGGCAGCTGAAATTCTTTGGATGCATGATTAGGAAGGCGGGCTTTGAAAACCTAATGGTCATGGGGCATACTGAATGAAATAGAGATATGGGAAGACAGCAAGCCACTTATCTGATGAGTTTGTATGAATGGATGGAAGAACAGCAAAGGGAGAAAAACTGCTAAAAGCCACACAAGATAGAAAGTTGTGGAGGGCTATGATTACTTACACCTTGAAGAGATGTGGCACAGGGAAGAAAAAGAAAAAAATGTAGACTTCCAAAAAGTTGTAAATTTCAAGCACCTCTACTTGATGAGTGTGAATGTTGTGTATTGAAATGCAATGTTATCCAAATGCAGGCACATTCATGCACTCTCAGACTGTAAATTGGGAAAAAGAACAGCCACATTAAGACACTTCCTGCCTTAAAAGTTTAACTTGACAGAGGAAGAGAATGATCAATTTGTTCAAATTCTTTGAACATTTTGTGAACAGCTTATAAGTTTTCACAAGAACACAAATCATAAAATAAGAAAGAATGAATTCATGTTTATTAATATCTTTAAAAATACCAATCATTTTTACTACCAATAAACTGAATTGCATTTTCTGCATTCTCACAAAACTCATTGACTCTAGTTAACTTACTACCAAGTTCTTTAAGGAATTTTCAGAATATATGGTTATTAGCAACTAGAACAGCCTAACATGTAAATTACAAATTGGAGAAGCCAATATCAAACAAGTACGACAATTTAAATATCTTGGAAGTATTTTAACAGAGAAAGTGCAACACCAAAATCTGAAAGGACACTAGGATACCGAAAGATGCCTTTTTAAACTAAAAGTCTTAAGAAATGGGAAAATTTCATTATAAACAATATCAATCCACCTATATAGCAGTGAATGCTGAAAAATCTCCTTACAAATGAAGTAAAGACTTGAAGCAACAGAAATGTGGTTCTACAGAAGGCTGTTGAGAATACCATGGAGCAAAAATATGAGCAACAACAAAGAAAATGGCAATGAAAAGGATACTTATACTAAACATCAGAAAGATAATGTTGAAATTTCTAGGGTACATAATGAGGAAAGAGGTTTTGGAAAATTTGACACTCACTGGAGATTGAAGGAAAGAGGGACAAAGGAAAATATTGCATAACCAACCTAGTGAACATGTATAAATGGATGGCAGAACAGAGTTTAGGAGAGATAGCAAAAAAATATTACCAATTAAGATCTACAAATGACAAAATTGTGGATAGCCAACATTCCGAACTGATGCAGCACATAGGAGAAATAGAAACTATGTTTAAAAGACATTTTATATCTATGCTTATCAGATATCATGGGTATGTGTGTGTGTGTGTGTGTGAGGGCCAAAACAGTAAATAATCTACTATGCTAATTAAACATGACAAGCATCTTAGGCTTAAATTACCTATTCAGACAATTGATATTTTGGAAACTTTTCAGGTTCTGTGAAAACTAGAGTAAAACAGTAAACAAAAATAGTCCAAGCTGAAAATATAAAAATAAGTCAGTCATTATGTCTTTCTTTTATCACCATCACTTACCTGTTTTTATCTCTTACTGTTTAAAAGCATCTACACAAATACAGGTATCCACTAAAAATAAGATTCAAAGTAATAACAATATTAGATATAAAAAAAAAAATCCATGAATTCTTTACAAATTACTTTGTTTACATGAAACCGAACAGTTATGACTTTCAAGGAAATCTGAATGATTAAAATGGGCTTCAAAGGCAGAGAGACATTCAAGGAAACCTGAATGATTAAAATGGGCTTCAAAGGCAGATAGACTTTCAAGGAAATCTGAATGATTAAAATGGGCTTCAAAGGTAGATAGACTTTCAAGGAAATCTGAATGATTAAAATGGGCTTCAAAGGCAGATAGACTTTCAAGGAAATCTGAATGATTAAAATGGGCTTCAAAGGCAGAGAGACTTTCAAGGAAATCTGAATGATTAAATAGGGATTCAAAGGCAGATAGACTTTCAAGGAAATCTGAATGATTAAATAGGGATTCAAAGGCAGATAGACTTTCAAGGAAACCTGAATGATTAAAATGGGCTTCAAAGGCAGAGAGACTTTCAAGGAAATCTGAATGATTAAAATGGGCTTCAAAGGTAGATAGACTTTCAATGAAATCTGAATGATTAAAATGGGCTTCAAAAATAGATAGACTTTCAATGAAATCTGAATGATTAAAATGGGCTTCAAAGGCAGATAGACTTTCAAGGAAATCTGAATGATTAAAATGGGCTTCAAAGGTTGATAGACTTTCAAGGAAATCTGAATGATTAAAATGGGCTTCAAAGGCAGATAGACTTTCAATGAAATCTGAATGATTAAAATGGGCTTCAAAGGCAGAGAGACTTTCAAGGAAACCTGAATGATTAAAATGGGCTTCAAAGGCAGAGAGACTTTCAAGGAAATCTGAATGATTAAAATGGGCTTCAAAGGTAGATAGACTTTCAATGAAATCTGAATGATTAAAATGGGCTTCAAAGGCAGAGAGACTTTCAATGAAATCTGAATGATTAAAATGGGCTTCAAAAATAGATAGACTTTCAAGGAAATCTGAATGATTAAAATGGGCTTCAAAGGCAGAGGGACTTTCAATGAAATCTGAATGATTAAAATAGGCTTCAAAGGCAGAGAGACTTTCAAGGAAACCTGAATGATTAAAATGGGCTTCAAAGGCAGAGAGACTTTCAAGGAAATCTGAATGATTAAAATGGGCTTCAAAGGTAGATAGACTTTCAATGAAATCTGAATGATTAAAATGGGCTTCAAAGGCAGAGAGACTTTCAATGAAATCTGAATGATTAAAATGGGCTTCAAAAATAGATAGACTTTCAAGGAAATCTGAATGATTAAAATGGGTTTCAAAGGCAGAGAGACTTTCAATGAAATCTGAATGATTAAAATGGGCTTCAAAAATAGATAGACTTTCAAGGAAATCTGAATGATTAAAATGGGCTTCAAAGGCAGAGAGACTTTCAATGAAATCTGAATGATTAAAATGGGCTTCAAAAATAGATAGACTTTCAATGAAATCTGAATGATTAAAATGTGCTTCAAAGGCAGACAGCCCTTCATTTGATTGTGAAGCTCTTCATACTCAAGTAGTAAAGCACACTTAATTAAACAGTGGTTTCTCCTGAGAAAGTGGAGTTCAAATCTGGAAGATGCATAAATTTTTCCAAATTTCACTTACACACAAATACTTTTGGGAAAGGTATTAATCCATCTTTTTACCACCCAGGACTGACTAGGTTCTTAGCCTTGGTTAGCAACTAGTCTACCAAAGAAAGAAATGGTAACCTACTGCAGGAAAAAAATCTTCTGCTCTCAGTCATATATTGAAAGATACATGATCACCCAAGCATGAATCATGTGTGGCATTTAACTGATTGAGACAAAATATAATAAACAGAATGTCTACAGAAATAAAGATTTCTACTAAAAGTAATATTTAAAGTAATAACAGTATGGATTAAAAAATAAAATCCATTAACATATATATATATATATATATATATATATATATATAATATAACGATATATTATTTTATTTTATTTTATTTATTAACAAACAGTATTTAGAAAAATATGACAAATTGAAAAATTTCTTGATATGATTACATCAGACTGTGCACAAAATGAGAGATGCTGGAAGTTTCAAAATTTTTTGAAAGAATAGTTTTGTTTCAATCTAATAGATGAAACATGTCACAAGAAATTTTCCAGTTTGTCATATTTTCTTAATATATATATATATTATGAAATGGATTAAGTCTGACAATTATTTAATATATTTTCATTTTATAAATTAATTTTATATATAATTTATTTAAGTAAATGCTCTGTTTTTAATTAAGCAGTATTAATTACATTCAGGCCAGTAAATGTAATTAATACTGTTTAATTAAAACAGCATTTACTTAAATAAATTATATCTATAAAAATGACATATAAACAGAAAATATATTAAATGTATATATCTTTTTATTACTTCAAATTTTATTTTTAGTTAATGCCCATATTTGAGTAGATAGTCTGTTTTTAAACAGTGCTTATTTTGTCAGCCAGCCTTCAAACTCAAGAAAACTTAATAAAGAAAATGTGTCTTCTAGCAAGATTTGAATCTATGTCCCCCTTCTGTCTGATCCATTAATTCTTTAGAAATATCTATCTATCTATCTATCTATCTATCTATCTCTCTCTCTCTCTCTCTCTCTCTATATATATATATATATATATATATATATACTATATATATTACTAGAATTTTTGCAACACAAAGGCGCACTTTGAAATCTTTGTAATATTTATTATTGATGAAGTTATTGCTAACATTTACAAACTCTATGTTGAAATAAGTATTTGTTATTTTAATCATTAAATTATTTTTAGAATAGTAGGAGTATTTTGTATGTTAAATAATAAAACTTAATTTTTCTGAAAAAAAATTCATGAAAATTTATTGTACTAAGCTACACACCTGAGTAAAACCAATTGTACTTTGTACCCCTTTACCTGTTTGCACTTCTCCTGAAAATTTTAGAGGTGTGATGAGCAGATAGACAGACTATCAGAAATCACAGAAACTTATATATATATATATATATATATATATATATATATATATATATATATATATATATATATATATATATATATATATCGACAGTATGGTCTTCGACCAGGTCATTTATTAGTGGGAATTTTTGCTGTTCAATTAGAGCAGTTGAAGTTTAAAGTCAGCCCACCTGAAAATCAATATTAGTAACAACAATTGGGTGCAACTGAGGCACCTCCCCTAATTTGAATGCAGGGTTGACCTGAAAAAAGCCGTGTTTGCATTCTCAATCTTGTTTCAGCCTTATGCACAGCAGCAGTCGAAGAGGCATTTCTCCTCAGCCATTGAGTCCTTTGATCATCATTTTCAGCCTTGCGTGCAGAAGCATTTGGATGAAAACTGTGGAAACTGCATACATACATACATACATATGTACATACATACACACATTTTGAGAATTATAGATATAAATAATATTATTGTAATAATTTAAACTATTTATTTTTCTTAAAGTTTTGATGAAAGATATAAATCCAAGAACAGAAAGTAAATAGTAAAACATTGATGAGAGTTATAACGGACAGGAAGTAGTGGAGAACCATTGTCACCAACAATTTGAACTCAAAACTAGCACTGAAGAATTGTCTGTCAAACAAAAAACTTTCATCAAAATCAGATGAAAACTGTGGAAACGCATAAACAACATCTGGTCACACGCACACACACACACATATACATATACATACATACACACTAACATTTTGAGAATGATAGCTATAGATTCTCTGATCTGGCCTTCTTTTCATTTTCTTAAGTTTTCTTAACTTTTGCCTTTATCTTTCACTTTCTCTCTCCTCATCACCAATTCTTTTCTAATTATTCTTAATATGTTACTTCCCCATTCAGAAAGGCTAATTGGTTCTAGCTGAGATGGGCCAGAGATTGGACAAATACAAGACTTTGATCCCAGACAGAAAAGAACAATGGGCATGTATAGAAACAAGCAGAATAATAGTTTATATTCATGCAAAATTTGGGAATCATTAAATAATCATATGCAAAATATACATGTCAAAAAAAAAAAAAACATTAAAAGTTGATTGAAATAAATGTATTCTTTAAATATTGATTTTTAATTTTAAGATATTTTTTTCAAAGGGCACAATGCTAACAATAAATCAACCTGGCCTGAAAGTTAGGAATGTCTCAAAGTTTAGGAGGATTAATACAGGGAAGTGCTTGTCTGTTGAGTGGGAATACATGGAACCATAAAGATTATCTATTGAGTGTTTCCAAAGAAGGGAATTCCTGGCATTTTCTTAGAGTGCTAGAATAAGGGTTAATCCTTTTATCAGACAGGGGGCACTCCAAATCCGCGCATAAAATGTCACAATTTTGGATTTCGTTTTCTAGATTGTGAATCCCTAACGGATCTCTTCACTCTGTAGAAAGAGAGTGACAGAAATTTTGGTAAATGCAATTCCCAAAAGATGCAGCAATTCCTATTGGGAATGCAGAAAATGAACTCTAATGGTCCCAGAAAGAAGGACAATTATAAAACAAATAAAAGGTATTAGTTCAATGTCTGAATTCTTTAGGAAAGCTATTTCAAACTATTTTGAAAACGTTTCTACAGCATCACAATGAAAACAGCTAAAAATATTTTTGAAACCAGAAAATGAAAACAGCTAAAAAGTTGTTTTCATTGTTAGGTTTAAAATTTTTTTTGAAACCTAACAATGAAAACAGCTAAAAAAAAAATAATTTCAAACCCTAACAATGGAAACAGCTAAAAAATATTATTTTTAAATGTAAAATATTTTTAAAACCTAACAATGAAAAAGCTAAAGAATATTTTTGAAAGCTAACAATGGAAATAAATAATGAAAAATATTTTTGAAACGTAACAATGAAAACATAAAAAAATGTTTTTGAAACCTAACACTGAAAACAACCAAGAAAAATATTTTGGAAACCTAACAATGAAATGAGGGAAAAAATATTTTTGAAACCTAACAATAAAAATATCTATAAAAATATGAACCAAGCAAAAATATTTTTGTAAAATATTAAATTCTAGCCACAGCATATTTTTGAACTATTGAATGTTGAAGATGTTATTATAAACAATGTTTCAGCCAAGTAGCCTTTGGCCATCATTTGGTGTCCATTGTTTAACTTATATTGGTTATCAGTTGATTACTGTGTTATTTTGTCTCTGTGATGCCAATAATTGTTTGTTCCTGTTGAAACATTGTATCCTAAACTTGTTTATAGATCAAAATCATGTCCACTAGATAACAGTAACACAACTCCTATATCAACTATGCCACCATTCCAAAGGATATCAGTGATGTATTTTTGAAGTCTTTTATATTCCATGTCACATGATTTTGACATTTTGTTATCATGGTGAGTTTGTACTGCTTTTTGATAATTTTGTATTTCCCTTTTTAGATGAGGAATTGTCATATACTTTAATTATTTCAAACTATTGTTCTCATCTATAATAACATAACTTCTATAATGATGCACTACATGTTATTCACAAATGATACAAACAAGTATAAAAATATCAAAATAAAATATACTTTATTTTTCTTATTATTAATAAAGAATATCTACAAATATATTTTATTTATCATTACATTTGGACTATTGTCCTCATCTTGTTATTATCACAATTTTTTTTCCAGATTGTTATTGTACTATTGTCCTTGTCTAAGAACATCTTGTTTTGTTCTTATTTATTACTGCTCAGTTATTACTGGCTTTGTTTCAATTAAGTCTAATTGAACCCACAATTATTATGTCACTAAATTCACTTCAACTTATTGAATAAAAAAAGAAGACAATTGTCCAAATGTAAATAATGTACATAATGGCAACTTTTCATCTCAGAAATTCAGATTGAAAAAATATATTTTATTTGGAAAAGTTAATTATTTATTATTATTTTTCGTTTATTATTTTCATCAATATCTTTGTTATTATCACCAATTGAATCTGGATTCATATTAACATCACCATAATAACCAACTCTGATTTTATTAACTTATACTGATATCATCATTGCTGTCTTTCATTAAAAACATTATCATCACCCTCCCATCTTCCATTACCCTCATAATAATAAGTAATGTCCATTAGCATAATAAATTTCTGTCACTATGACTATCATTCTATTTCATCATACATATAATTACTATTCTTCATTATCATCAAAACAGTATCTGTCTATCTATCTCTGATTGTTTCTCTCTATCAGTCTGTGAGTGTTCCTATCTATTCATCTATCTATCTATCTATCTATCTATCTATGCCTATCTATGCCTTATCTATCTATCATTATCTATCTATCTATTTATCTATCTATCTATCTATCTATGCCATTCTATTCCTATCTATCTATCTATCTATCTATCTATCTATCTATCTATGTGTTCCTATCTACAGTGGGGAAAATAAGTATTTCATCCCCTGCTGATTTTCTGAGTGGGAACGGTCTGTAATTTTCAGGGTAAGCCTGTTTTGAAAGTGAGATATAGAATATAAAAAATTCTAGAAAATTATATATTAATTTTTGAACATTTATTTCTTTTTATTGAAAAAATAAATATTTCACCCCCTACCAACCAGCAATGATTCAGACCCACAGACCAGTTATGTGACCAGGAGGCATATAGACTAGTCTTATTACTCAATTATTACTCCTAATCAAGTATACATTAACTGTATAAAAGACACTAATTCACAGAATCCTTCAATGAATCAGAATCTAGTCTCTCCACAATGGGCAAGATGAAAGAATTGTCTAAAGACATCCAGGACAAAATTGTATACCTGCACAAGACTGGAATGGGCTACAAGATGACTGGCAAGCAGCTAGTTGAGGAGTCAACTGTTAGTGCACTAATAAGAAAATGGAAGAAATACCAATTGACTGTCAACCTCCCATGGTCTGGAGATCCATGCAAGATCTCCCAATGTGGAGTGAACCTGATGATGAGAAAGGTGAGGAAACAGCACAGAACTGTGCAGTAAGAGCTTGTTGATGATCTCAAGGCAGCTGCAACCACAGTCACCAAAATGACTATTAATAATACACTACGTCGTAGTGGACTGAAATCATGAAGTTCCTGCAAGGTCCCCCTACTCAAGAAGGCACATGTACTGGACCATCAAAAGTTTGCAAATGAGCACCTGGATGATTCAGAGGAGAGTTGGGAGAAAGTGCTGTGGTCTTGATGAGACTAAAATTGACCTTTTTGACATCATCTTGTAAGGGCCTATTGGTTGAAAGGTTTTATTTTTGGAACATTGGAATTACCAATTGTAAAGGTGTCTTTTGTAGATAGACCAATACTATTTATATTATTATACTTTCAACGTATGTGATTCAAGTAAACAACAAAAACTCCAAACTGTGAATCAACAAGTATATATTGAAATAACATACAAGAACAAACATGCAATAAAATTGTATTCAATGTATAGATTAACGGAAAGAAGTTGTTCTCCTTCAATTGTATTTTGTAACCGATTGTTTGAAGAAAGTTCTTTTTGAGAGAAAAATGTTTAGGAATCAATATTAGAACAAGGTCTGTTTGTTAGAATAGATAACACAAGAATACAATTGATCAAAAATGTGTTGTGTTATAGAATGGTTCAAAATCAACAGAGTTGATTGAGCTTGGCTAAGTCACAGAGAGAAATGTAAGTTTATATTACAAAATTCTGTGTCTGTGTGTGTGTTTAAAATGTTATAAGCAAAATCGTGGACTTGTATGGACAGGTGAATTTTACTGGATCTTACTGACAACTTGTGAAAGAATCGCCTCTTTTATGGAAAAAGGGTAGGCTCTCACGGCAACGCGGGAAAACTAATGGTTATAAATTAACCAATCACTACATTCGTACTAACAGAACAAGCAAGCAAGCTCAAAACCAAAGGATTCAAAGAAATGACTGCGATGGCTAAATTGTCCTATATAAAAGTAGTAGTGATTTATTAGCCAATCACAGGCGAATAAAATGTGGGCATGGAAAAACATAGCAATCACTACAAGCTCAACTCACCATGTTTGGAGGAAAAGATAAGCTGACTTGCACTCCAAGAACACTATCTCAACCATTCAGCATGGTGGTGGAACATTATGCTTTGGGGCTGTTTGCCTGCTAAGGAGACAGGACGACTACACCAGGTCAAAGGAAAGATGGATGGTTCCAAGTACAGGGAAATCTTCAGTGAAAACCTCCTTATCTCTGCCAGGACACTGAAGATGGGTCGTGGATAGGTGTTCCAGCATGACAATGACCCAAAGCATATGACTTAGGCAACAAAGGAGTAGCTCAAGAAGGTGATGGAGTAAACTAGTCAGTCTCTGGGCCTTAATCTTTTAGAGAATCTGTGGAGGGAGCTGAAGCTTTCAGTTGCCCAACAACAACCGACAAACCTTAAGGATTTGGAGAGGATCTGCAAAGAGGAGTGGGTAAAAATCCCCCCTGGGATCTGTAAAAACTTGGTAACCAATTACAGGAAATGTCTGGCTGCTGTGCTTGCCAACAAGGGTTTCTTCACTGTTATGGTAATTTGCCCATGCATGCATGGACTCACCCAGCTCTAAATAGGAGCAGGTACTGCCTTTTGGAGGGGGAAGTTTCCAGCAGTCAACTCTGACAGTCCGACCGAACATTCTTGCTCTAACACTCTCGTTTGTATAGATTTGTATTACAGTTTCTGTTGATATATTGGTTTAACTCAATTCCTCTCTTTGTATCTTTATTTCTGGCACTAACAAGGCCACAACACTCTCTATCTACTTACCTACCTACATATATTCCTATCTATCTATCTATCTATCTATCTATCTATCTATCTATCTATCTCAACCTGCTCATTCTTTCTTTCTTTCTTTCACAGTTCCAATCTATCTATCTATCTCTCCTTACTTATATTTTTATGAGTTGACTCATATCTATCTCAATCTGCTTATTTCTGTCTATTTTTTCCTACTCATATCTATCTCATCTACTAATAGCTTTCTATCTATCTATCTATCTATCTATCTATCTATCTATCTATCTCTCTCTCTCTCTCTCTATATATATATATATATATATATATATATATATATATAGGATAGGATAATGATATATACATTTTTATATATCAAAAACATTTTTGGAGGAAAGATGTATGAGAAAGGGGAAAAAGTTTTTGTGTGACACATTTCATCTTGTAGGACTTCATCGAAGCTGATAAAGTCTAAAAAGGACGAAATGTGTCACATGAAAACTTTACACTTTGTAACATATAGTATATATATATATATATATATATATATATATATATATATATATATATATATATATATTACAAAGTGTAAGTTTGCCATGCAATCCAATATTGAATACAGCAACCAATTGCGTACGTATGTATGCAATGACACATGGATGCACATATATGCCCAGTCCCACACTATTCTATTATGTTTATGTTTGTGTGAGCTGCAATGCATGAATGTGCATGTATGTATGCCTGCGTATGTATGATTGGCATTCCAACAGCAATTTTTCCTCCCACTACCACAAAAACCCTTATATACGCAACCATAAATAAATCGAAAATTTAAAAATCAATCAGTTTGTCTGATGATCAAAAATAGTGTGAAACACCGGGTCACAGCAACATTCACCAAATACTGTTATGTTTTGCTATGGAGTGAAATACTTATTTTTTTTCAATAAAAATAATAAATTTTTCAAAAATTAATATAATGTGATTTTCTAGAATTTTTTTTATATTCTATCTCTCACTTTCAAAACAGACCTACCCTGAAAATTATAGACTGTTTCTATTTTTGTAAAGTGGCAAACTCAGAAAATCAGCAGAGAATGAAATACTTATTTTCCCCACTGTATCTTCTATCTATCTATCTATCTATCTGTGAGTGTTCATATCACACCATCCATCTATGAGAGCTCATATCTATCTATCTATCTATCTATCTATCTATCTATCTATCTATCTATCTATCTATCTATTTGAGAGTGTTCATATCTATCTATTTATCTATTATTGTTCATATCTATCTATCTCTCTGTGAGTGTTCATATCTATACATCTATCTCATTGGTTCATAACTCTTTGCCTATCTATCTGAGTTTATTTTTATCTATAAAGTTTTTTGCTCTATCTTTCAGTTAGGTGGGTGATTAAAAGTTCTCTGTCTCACACACTTCCCAACCCCTGTTTATCACAATGTGTCTTAATCTATTTATCCATCATATTCTGTTCATATATCTCAATCCATCAATCTATCCTTTATTCCTATCTATCTATCAATGAGAGAGTGTTGAAAAGTTCACAGCCCCATCCACTTCTTAAATTTATCAGAATGTAACCATATCTATTAAGATGTTCATACATTGCTAGGCAAAAGTAAGTGAACCCCTAAGATAATATTTAAAATAATTGTCTTTTTTCCAGATAATCAACACATCTTAATTAAACTATATATGCATTAAGAAAAACCTTTATCAATTGCAACCACTTTGAAAGATTTCTATCAAGCTGGAAAAAAATATTAATTAAAAATTAAGATGTGCAAATGTAAGTGAACGCTCATATTTACACTTTGTAATTTTGTTTTATATGGTTGCCAGTGCAAATAATTTTTTGTGTACATGTAAAAGTCAAAATGACATGTGTTCATTTTTTCAGTAAGCTCTGTATACTGCAGTCAAACAATATGATTCATTGTGTATGCAAAAGTGTGCAGTTAGAGGATAAATTTAAAAAATATATATGCAAAGATCAAAAGAACTTCCTGAGTCTTCAAAAAATGTCATAGCTGAAACCTATAATGATTGAGAAGGTTACAAAAATGCAGCAAATTATTTATAAATGGAAGGCTTTTGATATGACAGCATCACAATCAAGAAATGGCTGTCCATGAAAAATAACAGCCAGTAGACTTCTAGTTTGGCAGGCCAAGGCAAAGTCTGCTATGACCTTTGCAGTTCTCTGATGCTCTCTGGCCAATGTCAGAATCCATGTGCATACAACTACAGTGGCGATCTTCATGACAGAATGCCTAGAAACATCCACTGCTTATAAAATTGCACAAGCAAGCTCACCTCATCTATGCCAAAGCTCATATTAATAAGCTAGAAAGATTCTGGTAAAAGGTTTTAATGTCGGATGAGACCAAACCAGACCTTTTTGGGAGGAACAATAGGTGGTATATCTGGTGAGCTGCTTTTGAAGAGAAGAATTTTATACCAACCATTAAACATGACAGTGACAGCATTCTTATTTGGGAGTGCTTTGATGCAGCTGGAACAGGCAAAATAGTATGCATTGATGGTATAATTGACTCTGCAAGATACCAAGCAATTTTGAATGAAAGTGTCATGTCCTCAGCTCAAAAGTTGGGTTTAGTTCAGGGCTGGAACATCCAACAAGACAATGATCTAAAGCATCAAAATAAATCCACAAATTAATGTGTTTGTAAAAAGAAATTTCAAGTTTTAGAACAGCCTACTCAAAGTCCTGATCTAAACCCAATTGAAAATTTGAGATTCAAGTGAAAGAAGGCAGTGCATGCAAGAAACCCAAGTAATATTGTGTAATTGTGGGAGTTTTGCCAAAAAGAATGGTCAAAAATCAGCACTTCAGAGATTCTTAATTATAAAAAAAAGACTAGTTGACATTGTAACCTCAAAAGCAGTCACTGAATATTAAATGTAAGGGTTCACTTACTTTTCAACATCTTAATTTTTAATTTATATTCTTATTCCAACTTGATAATTTTTTTTGAAAGTGGTTATAATTCATTTAATAAAGGTTTTTATTTTCATGAATATATAGTTTAATTAAGATTTGTTGATCATCTGGAAAAAAGAGACAATTTTTTTAAATATCTTAAAGGTTCACTTAATTTTGCCCAGAACTGTATGTAGCCCAGTCTGTTCATCTCAACATGTTTATATATTTGCTTATATCTTGTTCATTTTGTTTAGTTCTTTTTTCTTAACAGATTTAATGTTTAGTATAGAGCTTAGAAAAAATTTGCAGTGTGACATAGGCAAGAAGTAAGCCATGTAGCAACATCAGCACGGCAAAGGGAACTCCTTTAAAGACAAGGAAGGGTAAAAATATTTTAAGTCAAATGATAGCGATTGCTGTATGAGTCGTACAATTTTTGAATCAAGCACAGGCAACACCGGGCCATGCTGCTAGTGTTATATATAAAAAACAAATATAACATTAAAAGCTAAGTACTTTTAAGTCCACCAAAGAGATGGTTGGTAGGACTTAATATATATTTATTCCAAAACCTTCAGTTGATAAAATCAGTATTAGTCTTATTCAGCACTGCGAGCATGTCCAGGCTATAAGATCAAGCCCACTGCTGTTTTTAATCAAATGTTCAGCTATTGCTGAAACTGACATATTAACACACCTACGTAAATTGCCCACCTATCCATTGCAAATATTTTGTGGGTTAATCTGTGTCTCCAACATTTGACCTTTTTAAATTACAGAGCTAATATGATGGGTAGGCAGAATATCATTCCAGATCACTCTCATCATAGGTTGGGCAGTAAAAGACAATACATGGATTGACAGAAAAAAGTGGCCAAACATTCAAATTCTTTTTTGAAGAACTCCTTGGCCATGCTAAGAACTTTTCATCACATTCCCTCTTTTCTCTCTCTCTCTCTCTCTCATATGCATATATATATTTGAGTATCTTATATAGTTAACATTAATATATATATATATATATATATATATACATACACATATATATATATATACATACACATACATATATACATATATATATATATATATATATATATATACATACACATATATATATATATATATATATACACACACACATATATATATATATATATATATATATATATATATATATATATATATATATATATTGCTTAGCCTATATGTTACTTTAATTTAAAATTTGAATAATTCTTTTTAATAGATATATTTTTTTTTAAATCTTGGAAATTTATTCCTTGGAAATAGTTTTTATGAGTAAAATCATGACAGAGCAACATATGAAAATGCTTGAATTTTATTTGCAAAATCAGCACTCCATTATTCTAATACACAAAATATATACATATATATCTAGCTAGCCAGCTATATATATATATATATATATATATATAATTATTTATATACACACGCACTATTTCCATGTCAAGAAGCTTCTCACAAAAATACACGTCATTTGCATGACATTAATTTTCATAAAGAATTTTTAAAAATTTCATTTTCTGTACAAATGCATTTTTATGGAAAAAAAAAGAAATAAATGTAAATAATAAACCAAAACATGTTCAGTTTATAAATGGTAAAGTGATTTATACATAGAAGTTATGCATAGAAATATAGGTAATATATATATATATATATATATATGTGTGTGTGTGTGTACGTGTGTGTGTGCGTGTGTGTGTAGGTTATCCTTGTCAATATAGTAGGAACCATCATTTGTCATATTTGTATTCATAATAGAGTCCTGTGAAAATACATACCTACTTGGCTTTGTGTTATCTTACAATGTAGAATGAAATTTTTTTTTTTTTTACATCATTCATTTACACAAAATGCCAACCACTTTGAAAATTCAAAATATTTTGTATTGAGAAACAAACAAGAAATAAACTTCAGCATGCATAATTATTCAACCCCAATCCAAAGGCCATACATTGTAGATTCACTTTTTGCAGCAGTTCTAATTTTATCTTGGAGTATGTTGCTAGCCTTGGAATCTCTAACCATGCCGTGATTGTTTCCTATTCTTTTGGCCATAGAATGGTTTACCAAAAATGTTGTGGTAAAAATAGCAACAATAGCATTTGTGAACAATATTTCATTTAACACCAGTGAATTTATATATATATATATATATATAAGAAGAAACACAGTGCACAGAGTCAACCTTACTCTCTGAGCAACCAGCAATCATCCCAAAAGAAGAAGATATCAATGCCAATGGTTCCTTGTGTGCCACAGGTGTTACATTAGGTTTTTTCCTTCTACTAGGGAAATGTCCTAACAGGGACTAGAGGGTCTCTCCCAATAATTCTTATTG